GCTCAAACATGTACTATTAATTCAGCTAATGCCAGAGACCTGGCCTCATGTCCAATGAGAGTTCTTAATCACCAGACAGATCTCATGGGATTCGGATTCCAGATGACTAGAGGGTTGAGTATGATAGCATAAGATTGTAAATATACAAGTGATAGTAAAAACCAAAGCTGATAGCATCTTTAGGCGTCGAGAGCAATGAGAACCAGAGGAACTGCAGAAGCATATTATTTTAAGCAACCCCTCTATATACCTCACATCCAAATAAGCAAAGTACTGAAGAAAATCTAAGCAAGCAAATGAAGATCATGTGGTGTAGTTAAATTAGGATTATTTGAACTCTATATTACAGATAAGCAGTGACATTTGTGATCAAATAACTCACAAGGGGAAAATACAACTGACTAGAACTCAAATAAGACAATGTCAGCGATGGGCATTTGGTCTAGTGGTATGATTCTCGCTTTGGGTGCGAGAGGTCCCGAGTTCGATTCTCGGAATGCCCCTTCATTTTGCTAAACTTTTTATTTACTCTTAAGTTGATTTAACTCTCCAAATGCTCCTTCATCTCTAACTGATTCAACAATTGAGCATGTTCAGATATGGCTAACCAGATATGGGAAACTTCCACACTGTCTACAACTAAAACACCTTTATTAGCATTGCTATGTCTCTCCGTAAACATTATTTTAACATTGAAGGAGCCCCTAGACACAGGAGAATTCTCATCCCTCCCAGAAAATCATTTCATAAGATGGTATAAGCTCAAGACAAGTGAATGTGAAACTTCCAGCATCATTTAGACGGGGGGCCAACAAAAACAGGGCATTTGGTCTAGTAGTGTGATTCTTGCTTCGGGTGCAAGAGGTCCCGAGTTCAATTCTCGGAATGCCCCTTTCATTTTCTTTAGGGCTAAAGTTTTGGAGTAAATTTCCGGATAGATATTGTTAAACATAGTGCGTATTGACAAAGAAAGCTTACTGCTAAAAACAATTCAATAGTTATTTCACTCACGTCTTTAAGGGGGTGCTCAGCTTTGGGAATAGGAACATGAACATACAAACTTCATAATTCACTCTCCTTCTAGTCAACAATCTAAGCAGATACCAAGGACAAATTGCAACGTTAAGATTGTCTTTGAGAGAACCTCAACATCTGAGTGGTCTTGTCACAAGTTCTCATTCTTGGAATGCCCAGTATTCCGCCCCGCCCCCCACCCCCAACTAAAGGGATGTCAATTACAAAGGATTCCTACGAAGTAGGAGTATTTGGTAAAACATTCAGCAGTAAAATTGATGTTCTGAAAATTGCAGCAAGTTCATCAGCCATTTATATATGTTCTAAGATTCAAACAATAGAATTCAAACTTGGTCACATGCTGACAATTTAATGCCACAGAGGAATCAATAATTTATTTTTTTGGTCTACTGATTACCATTACTACAATCCAGACCTAACTCTGCCTTCACAATATCTGTACCCCTCTTTATATCTTACACATCCAAATGAGAGTCCGCAAAAGTACCGGAGAACATTGAAGCAACCAAATGAAGATCAACTGGTGTGAGATAAGGAATATCTGAATTCTATATTGCAGATGAGAAATGACATTTATGATCAAATAACTCACAACAGGAAAAACATTGACTAAAGTTCAAAGATGACAATGTCAACAAATGGGCATTTGGTCTAGTGGTATGATTCTCGCTTTGGGTGCGAGAGGTCCCGAGTTCGATTCTCGGAATGCCCCTTCATTTTGCTAAACTTTTTATTTACTCTTARGTTGATTTAACTYTCCAAATGCTCCTTCATCTCTAACTGATTCAACAATTGAGCATGTYCAGATATGGCTAACAGTAACTTTTAATAGCAYACTATAACTCTCTRTATAAATTATTTTAACAATGGAGGATCCCCAAGAATGCTCATCCCTCCAAGAAAATTATYTCACAAATGATACAAGCTCCAGACAACWAACATGAACTTCCAACTATTATTTAGACTGAGGGACCAACAAAAGCTGGGCATTTGGTCTAGTGGTATGATTCTCGCTTTGGGTGCGAGAGGTCCCGAGTTCGATTCTCGGAATGCCCCGTCTAATATAATTTTTTACTTCATTTTACTTGTAACTCTGCTCCTTCACTCTGTTCTCTAATAGATATATTCCAATTAAGCAAGGCCATAAATGGCTAATGTAGTTCCTTTGGCTAGAGATCTAAGAAAATACACTTCATAGTTCCTTTTCTGTAGTGTCAGATTTATCATACAAACACTACAATTTACCCTCCACCCTGTTAACAATGGAAGCAGATAAATTCAACTAGCACACAACCTGAATTTTTCATCTTAGATGACTTATTACGGTTAACCTTATTGCAAGATTGTCTATAACAAACATAAACAGTGGGTATTTACTCTAGTTGTATGATTCATGGGTATAACCTATAGGTCACGGGTTCAAGCTGAGGAAGCAGTCACTAATACTTGCATTAGGGTAGCTTGTCTATCACACCCCTTGGGGCGAGTCCCTTCCCCGGATTCTGCATAAATGCACGATACTTTGTGCACCAGGCTGCCCTTTGCATGATGTATGGGTGCAAGATTCTTAGTATTTTGTTTTAAAAAAAAATCAGCATTGAGATTAATGTTCTGAAAATTGTAGCAAGTTCATCAGCCATTTATGTAACTAAGATTCAAAAAATAGAATCCACACTTCGTCACATGCTGACAATTTAATACCACAGGGGAATCAATATTTTTAAGGTTATTAATTATCAAAAAGCAGGACCATTTGTACATTCCAGATCTTACTTTGCTTTGTCAATCCCTGTACCAAACCTTACCTAATGCTTGACTTCAAGAGCTCTTTATTGTTTCCATTTTGGTAAGCTAATCTCAAGTCAACTATAAAACTCAGCCGACTTTCTTCTTACGACAAAATTTGCAGGTAAAGATTCTTTCAGTTCATTTTAATAGACAACCAAATGGCATGAGTCACTTGAAGCTGAATAAGGTAAATATAGATCTATAACTAAAATTAATACATCATGAGTACTTGCAATAGTGCAGAGGTGGGCTTGCCTGTTCAGTTTACCGACAAGCAGATCTGGAACTCCAAGGTTCAACATTTCTAACTTCCAAAAGATCCCTAAATATAAAACGTCGAACAGATAAGTTCAAGTATCTCAACTATCATAAGCCTCATTTCAGATATGCTCTTTTCCCATCCATTTTCAATTTGACAAAGCAGGCAAAACTTAAAAGTGAAGTTAGTACATGGATTTGTTGTAAAATCGAAGGATCATTATGTTTGATCTATAACAAGGTCATTTAGGGGTCAAGGAAGTTAACAGTAACAACTGAAATCATTTAGAGGTGTTGTACAAAATCAAGCTAAAAGCTCTCAAAATTTCATGTCAGTATAAGGAAGCCATTTTCATTTCACTTTAGTGAAACAAAGAAGCATGAACATCATTGTACTACGTTGTTTTGCACCCAAAATTGCATAACATGAGCTGCACCATTCCATGAAACAAGTGATAATAATATAGCGTGAGAAAGAAGGTATCTAAAAGAGAACTGGAAGTAAGAGAACTCAGAGAAAAGCCCATGTTTAACTATCAACGCGATACACCTTAGTGGAGCTTTTATTTTCTTCAGCAGTGACTCAACTCGAACTATGAAGCTCAAACATGTAATATTAATCCAGCTAATGCCAGAGTCCAGCCCTCATGTCCAATGACAGTTCTTAATCAGGAGACAGATCTCATGGATTCTGGATTCCAGATGACCAGAAGGTTGAGTATGATGGATTCTAGAGAGGGTAGAGTGTACACAGACCTTACCCCTACCTCAAAGGTAGAGAGGTTTGTCTCCAATAGACCCTCGGCTCCAGGAAAACAGTCCAAAGCAGTCCAGAAAAAAGAAGTAACAGAAGTCAAGAAACAATAGATAATAACAACAACAACACCTAGTAACAGAGCAAAGACTACACCACAACAATACAATGATCGATGTACAAGGAACAACAGATAGTAACAGAAATCGAAGGACAAGAAACCATAGGAGCAATACTACGACTACTATTGATAACGGAAAGTAAAACAACACACTGCTACCTACTAACATTCTATCCTAATACGTGTCCTCCACACCTTCCTACCTAAGGAGTAAAATGAAAATTATCTGGTGGAAAATAAGGAGTATTTGAATTCTACATTACAGATAAGCAATGACATTTGTGATCAAATAACTCACAAGGGGAAAATACATTTGCCTAAGACTCAAATAAGACAATGCCAGCAATGGGCATTTGGTCTAGTGGTATGATTCTCGCTTTGGGTGCGAGAGGTCCCGAGTTCGATTCTCGGAATGCCCCTTGACTTCGCTAAATTTTTAATTTACTCCAAGTTGATTAACTCCCAAGGGCTATCATCTCTTGCTGATTCTACAGTTGAGTGTCTTTAGATATTACAACCAGATGTGGAAAACTTCCCCACTGTCTGTAACTAAAACACCTTTGATAACATTGTTATGTCTCTCGGTATACATTATTTTAACATTGGAGGAACAACTAGACATAGGAGAATTCTCTTCAAGGATCATCTAAACCAGGGGACCAACAAAAGGAGGGCATTTGGTCCAGTGGTATGATTCTCGCTTTGGGTGCAAAAGGTCCCCAGTTTGATTCTCGGAATGCCCCTTGATTTAGCTAAAGCTTTTATTCTCTTAAGTTGATTTTACTCTCCAAATGCTCTTTCATCTCTAACTGACTCTACAGTTGAGTATGTTCAGATATTACAACCAGATATTGAAAACTTCCCCACTGTCTACAACTAAAACACCTTTAATAACATTGTTATGTCTCTTTGTACACTTTATTTTAACATTGGAGGAGCCCCTAGACACGGGAGAATTCTTATCCCGCCTAGAAAATCATTTCATAGGATGTTATAAACTCCAGTCAACTGAATATGAAACTTCCAGCTATCATTTAGACTGAGGGGAAGCATTTGGCCTAGTGGTATGATTCTCGCTTTGGGTGCGAGAGGTCCCGAGTTCGATTCTCGGAATGCCCCAAATTTTTTAGTGCCTTTTTTCAAGCCTGTACTCCCCGATAGTTATAAAGGATTTGAAGGCAAATGTAGGATATCCATTTAATACTTTGCTGAACATTCAATAGTGAGATTTCTGTTCCTGGAAACTGAAGTAAGCAAATCAAGCATTTATGAATTTGGTGGGATTCCAATGATTAAAGGTTATTCATCTTAGACAGTAAAAGTTAATTAGTTTAGTAATCCAATTAGTTCTAGAACTGATTCTTCTTTCTAGTGTAGTTTAGTAAGTTCTAGACACATTTATTGCTTGACTTGCAGATCTCTTTTTGGTCTCCTGTTCAGTACACATCTGATGTAAAGTCAACCAAGTAATAACAACACTAGGCCAAGATGTGTCCTGATCAAATAAAGAAAACGGAATGGCAAGACTTGATGCTCTGAAAGCTAATCTTTTCAGAACTACAAGATAAAAATAACAAAGCATGAGTGCTGGTAGTATACTGATTTGTGCTCACCTTTCTAGTTTATAGGTAAGCAGATCGGAACTCCAAAGTCAACATAGAACTACCAAGGAATCCCTATATACAAAAGAGTAAGTAGATTAGCACAAGAATTATCTCAGCTATGATAAGGAAAATTTAGAGGTTTGCTTTGCAGTTCTCCCTTCAGAAATAAATCAAATGTTTGCTTTCCATCAAAGTTCATTGATATTGGACATGCAGATCAACAATCGTAACTGAAATATTTAGCAGAAAGGTGTTATTTTTTTTATTTATTTGATAAGGAGCAGAAAGGTGTTATTAAAAATCAAACAGTACATCCTTCTTTTTGGGAAAAGCCCTCTGAATTTCCAACTCAAAGCTGGAGTTAAAATGGATAACGCTAGTAATGAGTCATTTTATTTTAGTTTACTTGAACAAAGGCGCATCATTTTTACAGTCCATACTTAATGATGCTTTGACAATGCCTGCACTAGACCTTACCTAACGTTTTGACTTCAAGAGCACTTTGTTGTTTCCCTTAAGTTAGGTGTTTTGATCGCAAGTCAACTAAGATACTCAGCCAAATGTCCTCATACAACAAATATTTACAGTCCAAAATGCTACCTATCCATGCTAATGGACCAACAAATGGCATGAGTCACATGAAGTTGGATAAGGAAAATCTTGATGTATAAGCTAAAAACCAATACATCATTAATACCTGCAATAGTGCAGAGTTGGGCTTGCATGTTCAGTTTACTGATAAGAAGATCTGAAACTCCAAAGTTCAGAGTCAAACTCCCTAGGGATCCCTGAATATAAAATGATGAATGGGTAAGTTCAAGTATTTCAACTGTCATAAGTCATCACTTCAGATTTGCTTTCCATTTTTGCCATCTGTTTCCAATTTGACTAAGCAGGCAAAAATTAAAAGTTAAGTTAGTGCCTGTGATTGCCTTTATATCAAAGATTCATAAAGTTTGGATTATAACGTCATTTAGGGATCAAGGAAGTTTTTCCCTGATGATCAACGGCTCTCTTTCACAAAATTGAGGCAAAAGTTCTCTGAATTTCACGTCAAAATGAAGAGTTAAATGGGTATCAATAGTTCAGAGCCATTTTCATTTCAATTTAGTGAATTAAATATGCATGAACATCATCTACCATGTTGTTCTATACCAATTTACATAACATTAGCTATGCCATTTCATGAAAACAAGTGAAAAGAATGTATCTTAATAAGGAAGGTAGCTAAAAGAAAATCACTATAAGAGAACCCAACAGAAAGCCCGTGTTCAACTATATATGTGATATTCATAAGTTTAGTGGAAGTTTTCCTTACTTCAGCTGTGACTTAACTCAAACTATGATGCTCAAATATGCAATACTGATACAGCTAATGCCAGAATCCTGGCCTCATGTCCATTGACAGTTCTCAATCACTAGACAGTTTCCATGGCTTTTTAATTCCAGATGCCAAAAAGGTTGAGAATGATAGAAAAGAACTGTCAAGAGACTAGCACCAGTAACAACCAGAGAAGAAACAATCTTTAGGCACGAGAGAAGCACAAATCAGAGGAAGCTGCAAAGGCGTCATTATTTATGTAACCCCTTTGAGTATCTCCCATATCCAAATGGGAGCCAGCAAAAGTACCAAATGATATTCGTTATCAAAAATAAAAAGGAAACTACCAAAAAATATTAAAGGAAGCAGATGAAGATCAACTGGTATGAAATACAGAGCACCTGAAGTCTAAATCGAAGATAAGCAATGGCATGTACAATCAAATAACTCACAAGGGGAGAACACATTTGACTAAAACTCTGAGATGGCAATTGTCAACAAACGGGCATTTGGCCTAGTGGTATGATTCTCGCTTTGGGTGCGAGAGGTCTCGAGTTTGATTCTCAGAATGCCCCTTGATTTTGATAAAAAAATTTATTTACTCTGAGTTTATTAAATCTTCAAGTGCACCTTCATCTATAGCAGACTCTATTTGAGCAAAACACCTTTAGCCGCATAGCTACATCTTTCCAAATCAATTATTTTAACAATGTAAGATCCCCGAGACATTGAAATGCTCACTCGTAGAAAATCATTTCATAAAACGGTATAAGCTCCAGACAACTGAGCAGAAACTTCCAGCTATCATTTAGACTATGGGACCAACAAAAGCTGGGCATTTGGTTTAGTGGTATGATTCTCGCTTTGGGCGCGAGGGTCCCGAGTTTGATTCTCGGAATGCCCCCCAATTTTTTGAATACCTTTTTCCAAGCCTGTACTCCTGTGAGTTACAAGGGATTGGAAAGCAAATGTAGGATTTTCATTTAACATTTTGCTGAATAATCAACAGTGAGATTTCTGTTCTTAAAACTTACATAAATTATTAACAATGTTGGGATTCCAATGATCAATGGAATTCACCTTCCCATCATGCACAGACAGTAAAATTTTATTATTGTATGAAACACTAACAAAAGGAACTGTTACAAGAAAGCACAAACTATATATCGCTGATCCAAACCGTCAGGGTAGAACTCTAGATCTGATTCTCCTTTCTGATGTATTTTAGTCAACCATAATTAGTGTTTGATTTTCAGCACTCTTTTTGTTCCCCTGTTCAATACAAATTCTGATCATAAGTCAATCAAGACAACTGATAAACGGAAATCATATGTCAACCAAGACAACAGACAAAAGTTATGTTCTTTGATATAACAACATTTAGGCCAAGTTTCTTCACAAATAGAGAACACCAAATGGCAGGTAACACTTGATGCTCTGAAAGGTAAACTTTTCTGGATCCACAAGATAAAAGTAATAAATCACAGGTCTACAAGAAACCAAAAAATTTCTAGTGGTTTGATATGTTTTTGGAGACAAAGCTCTCTGAATTTCCTACTCAAATCAGGAGTTAAAATGGATTCCGCTAGTTGATGAGTCATTATATTTCAGTTTAGCTGAGCAAAGAGGCATGAACATCTGATGGTCAGGTTGTTTTTTTTACCCAGTTTACATACAATGAGTTTCATAATTATATACAAATGAGAATACTGCACTATATTATTCAAGTGATAAAAAAATCGGAAGGAACATAAAACTAACAGGGAAAGCCAAGTTTCTTCAAAATATTATTCCTAAACTTGGTGCCTCTGCTTATGCTTTGAATTCACCTCAAACAACGGTGCTAAAACATGAAGCAATGAACCAGAGGGCAGAGGTGAGTCCGTATGTTTCTTCTTCCAGGTTTCCCCATTTATTCATACTTCTTTTTGTTTTATTTTCTTTCTTTTCAAATACTTCATTTGCTTCTTTTCATTTTCAAGAACTATGCTTCATTTAATTTTCTTTTTCTTTCTTTGCTTTCAATTGGTTCCCAATACACTTCCTCCAATCAACACTCCCCCAATTTAGACTTTTAGCCTATTTCTTACAATTCAAGCACTCAAAGAGGTATGGTGATTCATAAGATAAAGCATTAAAGCACAAGGGAAAGGGTTGTAATGTGGGTGCCAAAGAAAGGATTTAAGGCTCAACGGGGACAACTAGGGATACTTCATGCAAATGGTAGGCTTGAACAGCTCAAACAGTCCAAGGAAAACCTATTATCCTATCCTAAACCAAGCATTTCTTAGAATTTCCCCTCAACAAACAATTAAAATAAGTCCTACAACAAAGTATGCAAAGAAATTTCCACAATGGGTACAAGAGGTCACAAGATCAATCCCAGAAATGCCTCAGTTTTAAAAAGGCACATAGCCATAATATATTATATATAGCCATAATATATTATATATTGCCTTCTGTCATGACTGAGCATAGTATTAAGACACTCTACACAAAAGATCTTATTAGGTAATTGCACAGTTTCTTTCTTCATATTAACTTTTTAATATGCTCGACAGAACAAACTTCTTCAATCAACATATTTAGTTTCCTTGATAATCATTTGCAATTTCGGTTAACTACCACTTAGTAGGGTAAGGTCTGCGTACACACCACTCTCCTCAAACCCCACTTGTGGGATTACACTAGGTATGTTGTTGTTGTGCCACATAGTAACAACAATCAAATAAGGAAACCATTATCAAATTTGTGGACAAGTTGGTAAATTTGACGTGTCAGATCATGTACAGACCAAATGTGGAATGAAGATTGATGTGTCACTGATAGACTACTTATTAGACTGGTCAGCAGACATAGACAGTTAATCAACAGATATACCAAACCAACACCCTGTAAAATTTCTGTTTAATCAATACAACTGGGATTGTTACAGCAGGTCTGCTGATATAGATTCATCCACAGGCAATTGATGGTGTCTGAGGTGATTGGAAAGATGCACCGTTGGACTTAAGCTTTTTGAACATGCATGTAAGGACCATGAGGAGAAACTTTGAGGACGAGATTCCACTATTGCATTCATCTTGATAAGATATAACTTCAGATCAGTTAACTATCAGATTCAATAAAGGAGAGCAAGTGCGTAACAAGTAGAACAACGGTGGAGAAAATTCTCAAAGAGACTGAATGACATT